GAGGTCAGTGTAGTCTATGTAGAGTTCCAGGACAGTCAGAGCTACATAGAGAGACCTTGTCTAAAAAAATAAAGTAAAAAGAAATAAAAGTGATCAAGGAAGTCACTTGACATTGACCTCTGACCTTCATATGTCCACACACACACTTGTGTATATGTACCTGTACACACATGTGCACTTACTTGCATGACATGAACACACACTACCATATAGTGGGGGGAACTGAACCCAGGTCCTCTGCAAGAGCAACAAGTATTCTTAACTGCGGAGCCACCTGTCCAACCCCTAGTAACACTTCTTCTTCTTCTTCTTTTTTTTTTCAAGACAGGGTTTCTTTTCTTTGTAGCTTTGGAGCCTGTCCTAGAACTAGCTCTTGTAGACCAGGCTGGCCTCACACTCACAGAGATCCGCCTGCCTCTGCCTCCTGAGTGCTGGGATTAAAGGCATGCATCACCACCACCTGGCAAATTATCATACTTTTGTGTGTGTACATGCTTATAAATATATGCACGTGGACACCAGAAATCATCTTGGATCGTCCTCAATAATCTTTCACATTATTTTTTTCCAGACAGGTTCTCTTGGAATTTACAGATTAAGTTAGAATGGTTTGCCAGAGTATCCATGGTATCCACTTGTTTCTGCCTCCTCAGTTCTGGGATTATGGAGTGCACACTGCCATATTCTGATTTTATGTAAATGCTCAGGGGTCAAAGCTCAGATCCTAGGGGCTGGAAATGGCTCAGCAGTTAAGAGCACTGGCTGAGTTCCTGTGTTCAATTCCTGAGTCTTAAATTCAGTTTCCAGCAACCACATGGTGGCTCACAACCATCTACAGTGGGACCTAATGCCACCTTCTGGCATAAAGTTGTACATGCAGCAGATAGAGCATTCATACAGAAACTAAACCATAAAACCAAACCAAACCAAACTCAGATCCTCATGTATATGTAGCAAGTACTGGACAGACTGGGCATCTCTGTCCAAAATACCCACTTTCAAAAAACTTATTAGAAAATCTGAGTCCGTCTGAATTCTTGTGTTTCAAATCCACATCTTACTTCAATAATCCCGGTTTTCTTGACTCAGTATACTTGCTTTGTTTTTTTCTTTTTTTTTTTTTTGAGACAGGGTTTCTCTGTAGCTTTGTTTGGAGCCTGTCCTGGATCTCACGCTGTAGACCAGGCTGACCTTGAACTCACAGAGATCTGCCTGCACGAGCCCCTGAAGTGCTAGGAACAAAGACACGCACCACCACCACCAGCTAGTATTTTTGTTTCTTGAGTCAAAGGTCTGAATATGTAGTCCAGCTGGGCTCCAACTCTCTATGGAGGACAGAATGTTCTTGAACTCATAATCTTCTAGGCTCAGACTCAGTATTACAGGCTTGTTCAACTTCGTCTAGTCTCTTTGCTCTCAGATGTATGTCCAGTTCTTTAACTGACTGAACCTGTGAGGTTTGCTGGACATACTTAAAAAGCACTGACATTTTTGTCAGAATATTCATCAAAACCAAATCTCTTTAAAACAGTCCTCAAATGTTTATTCCCAATTTACAACTTCCATTAAGCCAGTGGGCAAGTTTCAGTAAGATTTACACACCTTCTAACTGCTTCCCATTAGTACTAAACTACCCACTGAGGTGGTCCGAAAGAATGATGCTCACGGGCTCATATATCTGAGTACTTACTTACCAGGGAATAGAATTCTTTGCTAGAACTAGAAGAATTAGGAGGTGTGGCCTTGTTGGAGGAAGTGTGTCACCTGGGGTGGGCTTTGAGGTTTCAAAAGTCCACCCCCAGACTCTGCCTCCTGCCTACAGGTCAGGATGTAGTTCTCTGCCATTGCTCCAAAGCCATGACTGTTACCACGCTGCTCCTGCCATGCTGTGGAACGAACTAATTGAAACTATAAATTAAATGCTTTCTTTTATAAAAATTGCCTTGGTTATGGTGTCTCCACAATGACAGAACAGCTAAGACACTCACTCAACTGAGGTCCAACTACCTTGTTTCATGGATTCTCTCTTCAGATACAGCTTTAAGTACAGTCATAAACAACGATAATGCAAAAGTTGGTGATTCTTCTAAAGTAGTGCTGTATAAAAATATGCTTTGCCGAGTGATGGAACATGCTTTTAATCCCTGCACTCTGGACACAGAAACTGTTATTCTTAAAAAACGATTAGAGAGCGGCTACAAACGGTTCCCGGGCGGGCTGGCGGTGCCCGCCATGGGAAAGCGGCTACAAAGGATCCCCGGGCGGCTGGCGGAGGGAGCCCGCCATGAGGGCGGCTACAGGAGGGCACGCTTCCTTGGCCCACAGTGGCGGCAGGTAACAGACACGTAAACACAGGAAATAGCCATAAGTATTTATTAAGGAAGGGGGAGAAAGAAAGACAGAGAAGAGATAAAAGGAGAGAGGAGAGATAAAAGGAGAGAGAGACAGAGAAAACGCGTGCGCACGCCAAGGAAGCAGAAAGAGAGAGAGAGGGTCCCAAGATGGCGATGGGCGGGTCAGAGGTTATGGGAGTGGGCGTGGCTAGGGCAGGGACCCAAGATTAACAGAAACGGGCAGACCTCTGAGTTTAAATCTACCTATCAAGCTCTAGGCCAGTGAGGCTACTTAAAAATAAATAAATAAATTATAAATAAAAAAAAAACCCATGACACTTATTTCCCAGGCATTTCTGTGTCAGGGTCCTTAACTGTTAGGAAACACTGCATATAGTTGATTTGAACTAATAGGTGAACATTGAAATTTATATCACTTTTTTTTTGTATTTACCTTTTAACCAAGTTGTACATACATGGTAAAATGCCTAATATTATAGCTAAGTCTTGACATCTCAAATAATGTAAATATGAAAGGATGAATTGAGATGAGCAGAATGAGTCTGCAGTTCGTGTTATCATTTATAAGAGATGAGGGACCTGAGGCTGGTCACACAGTGGGGTGGGGGGAACCAGAGGCAGGTACCAGGGCAGGTCGCCTGAGGTCTCAGCAGGAGACAGACAGACAGATAAATACAAGCAGAGAGAGCTGGGGTATAGTTTATTTAGTGGGTTATGGAGTAGTGGGAAGGGAAAGGAGGGGGGGAGGAAGAGAGGCACTTCAGAAGTGGGGGGGATTATTACAGAGGAGGTGGGAGATCTGCCTTCCTTGGAGGAAGGGGGGGGGAAGTTGGGAGTGTGAGGAGCTTGTCTCTTAAAGGGACAGAGTACCCAGCTGATAGACCAGGTCAACAGATTTTTTTTTTTTTGTTTTTTTTCGAGACAGGGTTTCTCTGTAGCCTTGGAGCCTGTCCTGGAACTAGCTCTGTAGACCAGGCTGGTTTCGAACTCACAGAGATCCGCCTGCCTCTGCTTGCCATGTTCTGGGATTAAAGGTGTGTGCCACCACCGCCTGGCCAGGTCAACAGATTATAACAGTTAGCCTACTGGGTGGTCAGGTTGAGGAAATAAAATATCAACTATATTAAATATGAACTCACATACTGGAGGGTCCATCATTGTGAGTGTTTTTTCTATATTTGAAATTTTTTTTTTGGTTTTTCGCGACAGGGTTTCTCTGTGGTTTTGGAGCCTGTCCTGGAACTAGCTCTGTAGACCAGGCTGGTCTCGAACTCACAGAGATCCGCCTGCCTCTGCCTCCCGAGTGCTGGGATTAAAGGTGTGCGCCACCACCGCCCGGCTATATTTGAAACTTTTGAGTCTCACTACATTGCCTTGTCTGGCCTGAAACTCTATTTAGACTAGATCATTGAGATCTGCCGGCTTCTGCCACCTGAGTGCTGGGATTAAAGATGTATAAATACACATTTCTTTCCTCTTTCTCAGAGCACAAGGTTTAACCATTGGATAATTCCTAAGGATTACAGCCTGGGACAGGGCAAGGCCCTCAGGGGTAGGAAGGGAAAAGGAATCTTGAGCTGGAGCTCCTTTGGCCTAAGGCTTCGGGACAAACTCTTTAAAAAACCCAGGTTAGTCTCAGTCCACTATTCAGCCAGGAAGGACCTCGAATTTTTGATTTCAATTTCCCATCCTAAATGCTAAGATTGTAGGCATGTGCCACCACCTCATCTGGTTTACATTTTTTTTTTTTTTTTTTTTTTTTTTTGAGATAGAAGGCAGATTTGAAGTAAGAGCGAAGAAAGTCTGGAGACTCCACATCTGATGGCTGGAGGAGAATGGAGAAAGATACTAGAGGACAATGGATTGGTAGGTGAGGGATCCCCCTTTCTGTTCAGAAAGGAAGATGAAAGAAACAATCCAGGTTTCTCCGGAGGGGAGGCAGCCAGGAAAACATTCCCTAAGAGCACTCAGTGACACAGGGAACAAAAGAATGCAGATGACTAGGTCCATTCCAAACTGGCGGGAAGACTTCTGAAGAGCTCCTGGGGGCAACGGCAGGGGACAGAAGTTAGAGGAGGAGGAGGAGGAAGGAAAGTGGGAGAGAAAACAGCTGAGCAAAGATCTTGTTAGAGTGGACTGGAATCCCAGCTACTCCAGAGGCTGAAGGATGGTAACGAGGCCACAAAGCCAGGCCTCATCTTAAGGAAATAAAAATCTTGCTGAGTCAAGTGATTTATGGCACTACAAGAGACTTTCATTCTTGCAGATTTGGTAAATAGAATTAATGTTCTTCTGAAGCTGCATAAAGCAGAAAATATGAAAAAGTATGTCTCAGCCAGGCAGTGGTAGAGCACACATTTAATCACAGCACTTGTAAGTTCAAGGCCAGCCTGGTCTACAAAGTAAGTTCCAGGACAGCTAGGACAGTTATACAGAGAAACCTTCTCTCTCTTGGGGGTGGGGAGTAACAGGTCTTTGATATGGCAAAATCCAACTCTCCAAGAGGATATCTGAAGACTCTTTTAGACAGAAAAAAGCATTACTGTAGTACAAATCTCAGCAAATAAAACCTTTTTTTTTTTTTTTTTTTTTTTTTTTTGAGACAGGGTTTCTCTGTGTAGCTTTGGCTATCCTGGAACTCACTCTGTAGACCAGGCTGGCCTCCATGGAGCTCTGCCTTCAGAGTGCTGGGATTAAAGGCGTGCACAAGTAAAATCATTTTATTAAGTGAACTGAGTTACTCATTATATTCTGGTTCTCTTCTGAATTCACAGCTGTGACCACAGACCAAACAGAGGATGGACGTTTGATTACATATAGATAAAATGACTCTAATAATGTCCTTGATTCACTATTAGACATTTCTGTTACTGACAAAGTGAAGAATGACAGAAGAACCATGAATTAGTACCAGGCCAGAAAATAAACTGATTTACACATTCTTTGTCAGGCGTGGTGGGCCACACCTTTGATCCTATTACTCGGGAGACAGGCCAGGCTGGTGGATCCTTTGATCCTTCGAGGCCAGCTAGAATTGCATTTTGAAACCTGTCTCAAGATAAAAAATAATCCTTTTGCTTTCTCCTTTTCAGACAAAGTCTCAAGTAGCCCAGACTGGCCTCAAACTCATAGCTGGGAATAACCTTGAACTTCTGATCTTCCTGAGTCTCCCTCGGATTGCTTCCCAGGTACACAAAACACTTTTTCTGTCTATTTTCCTCTTTCATAGAAACAACATTATACACAGATACTAATCAGTCTGGGTCAGAAAAAAATATTAAAAGAAAACACACATACACACAAACAAAAACAGACAAATAAAAAATAAATTGAGACCTGGATGTGAACTTCATTAAGTGTAAAGCCTCCTTGGCAAAAAAAAACAACAACCCAGAATTTGTGGGGTGTTAAAGGAGGGAAACAACCAAGTGGGTAGGGAGAGTGCCGACTGCTTTCACTCTGTCTCTTCAGACTTCGGTACAGGCCTCCAATGACAACACTGACATACTCTCAGCAGGATCATCTAGGGGAAGGTGGCAGTTCTTTGGTCTTTACGTCACCTAGAGATTTGTCTAGGAAGTCCCTGTTTTGAACTAAAGCATCAATGAATTGGGAACCATCCATGCCATACAGTTAGGAAGCAGAAAGTTTCTTGGAAGATTAAGTCCTTTTTATTCACAAATCCAAAACACACGTGTGGTAGTAGGGACAGTTGGTCACATTTAGCGTATGACATTTCTAAGACCCGTGTCTGTGGCTTCTGATAATTTCAATTTTGCGTTTTTAAAAATTTAAAAAATAATCTATCTTATATGTATGTTTTGGTTACATGTATGTCTGTGTATTACGTGCATGCCTGCTGCCGGCAAAGGCCAGAAGAGGCCATCAGATCATTGGAACTGGGGTTACAAATGGTGATGAACTATGTGGGCACTGGAAATTAAACCTGGGTCCTGCGGAAGAGCAGTCTCTTAACCACTGAGCCATCCCTCCAGCCCTCAAGTTTGTATTCTTATGCAAAGGGATTCTGACAATTTCACCTTCATTTACTCCTTTTGGAGACTAGTACTTAAAAAGATAAATAGGAAGCCTCTCCTCGTTTTCAACTGGAAGAAGCTATGAGTCTAAGGAAGAATGGCAACCATTATTCATTTTCCTCCGTGAACATCTTACTTAAATGCTTCACTAAAGCCACTAGCGCAGGGTTTCCACCACAGGCCTCGATTTGTTTGTAGGCTTTTGCTTCAAGCTCTCTAAGAGTGTACCGAGTATATTCAAAAGAACCTACGTCTTCCAGGTACTGCACACAGTATTTTTTAATATCTATATTCTCTGTTCTTTGGCGCAGGATGTTCTGTACCTGGGTGCTTTCTGGCCGTGACCAGATGGCGTGAATAGTGGGGAAAGAGAACTTCCCTTCCGTCAGGTCTTCACAGAAGCTCTTGTTTTCACTGTATTCTTTGGAGTGCAGATTGGCATAATCATCTCTAATCTGGAAGAAAAGCCCAAGTGTGTCGAGCAGTGGCTTTAAATCTTCTTTGTAATCAGAAAACAACTGCATGAGACCTACTGCTAGTCCAAACAATCCACCTGTCTTCTGTAACACCATGGCTTTGTACTCTTCCTCAGTGGGACAGGTGTAGGTGTCCCTCCAGTAAATATCTAGGCCTTGTCCCTGATGGAGTTCCAAAAGCTGGCGTGTGAAAAGCTTCACAGCATCCGGGTGATCCAGTGTTAAGACTTTCTCCAGGCCGAGGAAGTAGACGTAATTGGCAGAATTGATGACAGAAGGGATTCCGTAGATGCTATGTGCCACTGGAAAACCACGTCGGAGCTTTGAGTTATCTTCAATATCATCAATGAGTAAGCTGGCATTATGCAACATTTCAGTTACTTCAATGATAATCTAGAGGAAAATAACCAAAATAGAAAGAAAATTTTACTAGCATACATACATACAACACACATATGTAAAGGGATAGACAAACATACAGAGACATATAAACAAAGTACACACATGTGTACATGCACACACAGAGGATTTTAAAAAATATTTACTTTTAATACTTTCAATTTGTTTATGTATATGTGAGTGCAGGTACTCTTGGAGGCCAAAGACGCTAGATTCCCCTGGATCTAGAGTTACAGGCAGTTGTGAGGTGCCTGAGGTGGGTACTGGGAATTGAACTTAGGTCTTCTGCAAGAACAGTACATGCTCTTAATTAACCTCAGAGCCATCACTCCAGCCCAGACACAGTCTCCCTATGTAACCAGCTTCTAAGGGCTGGGTTTCCATGTGTGTTCCACCATGGTACATACATGCTTGACTAAAACAGGTTGTACTTAAAGCCATTACTAAACTATTAAAGTCTCAGTTGTCTTAAGCTTTTTACAACTAATAAATATTTAGCAACCTCGATAAATAATATTGCATAAACACTAACAGGATAAGGAGTATTTTTACAGGATACTTACTAATTCCTTGATTAAATGGGAAAGAAGAATAAGATTAGAATTGCCTCATGGCCGGGGACTCAGTGACTCAGTGGCAGAGCACTTGCCCAGCAAGCTCAAAGTCCAGAACCAGACCAACAGCAGGACAAAACAGAGACAAAACAGACTGCCTAGATACCTGCAGTTTGTCTTCTGGAACTTTCAGCCAGTGATTAAATGCCTGTGAAAGTTTGGTTCTCACCTGTTTACCTGTAATTAAAACATAGAATATGACAAATAAAACATTATTATACTTAAAAAATAATTTTAAGAAACATTTAATTTAGTTGTGTTTGTATGCACATGCGTTTTTCATGGCACACTTGTGGGGTCAGAGGATAGCTTGCAGGAGTATGTGGGTCCTGGAGATGGAAGTCAGATGTTAGGTGCGGTGACAAGCACCTTTACCAGCTAAGTCATTTCATTAGCCTCCAAAATGTGCTTACAAGAAAAATTGAGGCACATGCTTTTAATCCTAACACTTGGGAGGCAGAGGCAGGCAAGATCTCTCTGAGTTCAAGGCCAACTTGGTCTACAGAATAAGTTTCAGGACAGGTTCCAAAGCTACACAGGGAAACCATGCCTCGGAAAAAAAAATTGATAAACTTGCTTCAAAACTGATCATATTTAATAAGACAGTCACATCCACATCAATCCATTTCCTTCCTTGCCGAACACCCCTCAGATTCCCCACTGTAAAGTACATAGTGGGACTGGACCCACCCTCCATGTTTTCATTCAAACTACACTTGGGTGGGTGGAGAAATGGCTCAGGGTTAAAGAGCTCTTGCTGTTCTTTTTTTTTTTTAATATTTATTTATTTATTTATTTATTTATTTATTTATTATGTATACAGTGTTCTGTCTGTATGCCTGCAGGCCAGAAGAGGGCACCAGACCTCATTACAGATGGTTGTGAGCCACCATGTGGTTGCTGGGAATTGAACTCAGGNTGTGAGCCACCATGTGGTTGCTGGGAATTGAACTCAGGACCTTTGGAAGAGCAGGCAATGCTCTTAACCACTGAGCCATCTCTCCAGCCCCCTCTTGCTGTTCTTATAGAGAACCCAAGTGTGGTCCCCAGTACCCATGTCAGGTGGCTCACAGCCATATGTAACTCTAGCTTCAGGAGACCAAATCCCTTCTTTAGTCCTCTGCGGGCACCCACACTCAGGCACACATGAATCCCATCCCAGTGCGCACACACTCTCTCTCGCTCTCTCACACATCACATACACACACACACACACACACACACACACACACACACACACACACACACACTTACAGGTCAAAAAGCACAGCTTTTTAAAGTGACAGCCAACAAGAAAGTCTAAACTATTTCAGGGAGTTTTAGTCTTAACTTGGGGATGGAATGGACATTGAATTGGGGGTGGAAGGGTCATTTTAAGGAAGGTTCATTAATCTCTTTCTTTTTCTGAAAAACAAAGCCAGTTCGGGGACAATTAGCTGGCATTATCTATCACACAAAACTTCAAAGAATTTTGTGAATGAATTTCCTCATAAAATTATTTGTCAATTCCTTTTAAATTAAGGTTTGGAGACTAGGGCAGCTTTAGTTTACACACCCTGAGTTTAAACAAGTGCTAGCCTTTTTGTGTTGACTGGGCCACTAGTTTTCCAATGGCACTTTCTTTTTCACATGGAAAGCTCGAGAAAAATCTTTAGGTAGTAGTTGCCAGTAGAAATTAAATTAGCCTAAACATAAAGCCATGGTAGATTAAAAAAAAAAAACAAACCCACAATCAATTCATTTAGTACAAATATCATATGCACGTCTAATACAGCAAATTCAGAACAGGGTTCAAGAAAATGGTTATATAAAAGTTAAGTTTCAGAGGCTAGAGAGATGGCTCTGTGGTTAAGAGCACTTGCTGCTCCTCCAGAAGTCCCAGGTTTGATTCCCAGCATGTACAAGGTGGCTCAGAATTGTTAACTGTAACTTCGATCCTAGAGGGACTGACCTCTAGGCTCTGGGCATACACATGGTACACAGACACACACAGAGTCAAAACCTCCATACACAAATCAAAACTTAAAAAAGGAGAGAAAATTAAGTTTCAGTCTGGGAGTTGGGTTGGGCAGATAGATGGCTCAGTGATTATGAATGAGTTAGGGTCAAGGTCTTGCAGATGACCTGGTCTGGGTCCTAGCACCTACATCATGGGTAGCTCACAGCTGGCTGTGACTCCAACACCAGAGGATGTAACACCCTCTTCTGATCACAGGCATCTGTACAATCGTGCACATACCCTCCCCCAACAGACATGTAATTAAAAGAAAAAAGGAGGAACTTTTTAGGATTGGCCACAGCACACCTGTAATCCCAGCACTTGGAAAGCAGAGGCAGGAGGTTCACCACAAATTCCAGGCCAGCCTAGGCTACTTAATAAATTCTAGGCCAGTTTAGGAGACAAGGAGATCCTGTCTCAATAAAACAGAAAGCATAACAAAAACATTTTCATTATATAGTCTTTGATAATTTCTCTTATAATGGTATTGCTTCAAATAGAAGGTCTCAAGGACCATTTAACTTTAACCTTTCCTGTTGCTAACATTCACACAAACTCTACTCTTTAAAAACTACACTAAACAGACAATAACTGAACTCTTTGTTACCTGGTAATTGAAGTAAGTACCTATAGGGCTCTAGAAGAATTCTTTCAGCTTTCTCTTGAGTCTTCTCCATATTTTATAAATTTCAAAGCTGACCTGTTAAAAAGGAGAAATATAAAAATGATCTCAAGAATCAAATTATCTTTAAGTGTTAGATTGCAAATGAATTTTTATCAAGATGTTTTTTGAAAGACATTAAATTTTATTTATATAGCAAAACATTACAGGTATAAAACCTTGAAAACATTATGTAAAGCAAAAGGAGCCAGCAACAAAAGAACATGCTGCATGATCTATTTATAGGAAATGTTCTGAATCAGGCAATCTATACAGACGGGAAAGCAGGTTAGTGGTTTCTGGCTCAGAAAAATTAAGGACTGTTACTAATGAATAATGAAGGTGGGTGCACATGCTCACATATATGTGGTATGTATGTGTGCATAGGATCAAAATGTTATTAGAACGTGGTTATGGCTGTACATTGCGTCTATACTAAAAACTACTAAATTGTAATTTTTTTTTTTTCCCGAGACAGGGTTTCTCTGTAGCTTTGGAGCCTGTCCTGGAACTAGCTCTTGTAGCCCAGGCTGGTCTTGAATTCACAGAGATCTGCCTGCTTCTGCCTCCCGAGTGCTGGGATTAAAGGCGTGCGCCACCATTGCCCAGCTCTAAATTGTAATTTTTAAAAAAGTTTCTGAAAAGTCTTATGTTGTAGCCCAGGATGGTCTCAAATTTGTGATTGCCTGATGGTTTCAGTGCTGAAATTACAGACATGCATTATCATATCTAGCTTGTTCTGAGATAGGGTCTTACCATGATGCCCAAGTTGGCCTTGAAATTGTGGGCTTCAAGCCACCAAACCATCTTAACTATACATTTTGGATGGCGGTATATAAATTACACCAAAAACTCTCCATTCTGCTGATTACACTGATCAGAATGCCAAGTTGATTTTAAAAGTTTTCTTAGATGATTTACATATAGTAAGCTTTCCTAGCTAATGAATCATAAAGGGTTTAAATTGTTGACATCAAAGAAATGTCAAAATAAATTCACAAAAACAGATATTTCTTTCTTTCCTTTTTTGGGGGGTGGGGGCAGGGTTTCTCTGTCTAACAGCCCTGGCTGTCCTGGAACTTCTTTGTAGACCATGCTTGCCTTGAACTCAGAGATCCGCCTGCTTTAGCCTCTCAAGTACTGGAATTAAAGTTGTGTGCCGCCACCACCACCCAGCTTAAAAAAACAAAACAAAAACCAGACATTTCTATAATGATTACAAATATTCTTATTCTTTCTATGAATATTACAAATACCCTATGAATATTAAAATAGGCTTTGTAATTTGTGAAGAACATTTTTCTCAAATTAATAAATTTTGGAGATTGTTTTAAAGATGTGTTCTAATTTAGTGCAATTATTTTATTTAAGAATTTCCTGTAGTGCTTCATTATTTTGAATTTTGCCTTTATTTCAAACTTTCTAGAATATAAACTGGGGCATATAGGTGCATATGTATTTTTTGAGAGAATATATTTGTAATCCCAGCTGGCCTTGAACTCTTGATTCCTCTGCCTCTCCTCCCAAATACTGGGATTATACAGCACGCCACCCTGCCTTCAATCATGGTCTTTGCAGGGGGCTCCTTTACTCCTGTTTCTTTGCAAATATCTATGTCTACTTTTCTCCTTGGAGGTTCTGCTTTTCACTCTTTAGAAACATTTTTTAAAGTTCTTATAAGGTTTCTCTGTGTAACAAGATGGCTGCCATGGAACTCACTTTTTCAGAGTAGGCTGGTCTTGAAGTCAGAGATCTGCCTGCCCCGAAACTCACTTTTTTAGACCAGGCTGGCCTTTGAAGTCAGAGATCTGCCTGCCTCTGCCTTCCAAGTGCTGGATTAAAGGCTTTTCTAGTAATCATGACACCTCTGGCAAGCTTTAGGTATTATGAGTTGTATCTTCTTTGGCTTTCAGGATCACAAGCCCTCTTCTAACAATCTTTCATAGTCACTGTGTATTTGTAAACCTAAAACCAAATATAACATGGTTACATATGGCAGTTCAGGGTTATTGCTGGTCAAAGAGCTAGTCACATGTCACAGGTTTTGGAATTGGAAAGCACCTGTGATGGTTAGTGTTGTCAATTTGACAAGCCCTCAAAAAATCCCATGGACAGAACAACTCAAGTTGTCAGGCTCTGTGGCAAACCTTTAATCCGGAGCACTCTGCTGACTCTATATACAAGACTAACAGAAGAGCGAGTCAAGAGCTGAAAGCTATACTGACCTCCACTGTGGCATGTGGATGCTCACACACACACAATAGCTGTGATAAACACAAATTCTGGGTGTTCATGTGTGTGAGTGCATGTTTGTTTAGAAGTTATATACCCCTGGGTTTTCTTCAATCATTTTCCATCTTATATTTGAGACAGGGTCCATCACTGAACCCAGGCTTTGCCAACTTAGCTAGACTGGCTGGCCAATGAATTCCTGGGACATGCTTGATCTGGCTCAGCCAAGTGCTGGGGTTAAAGATGGGGGGATGCAGAACTTGGCTCATCATGCTTCAGAGATGTTTTACTGACTACGCCATGTTTCCCACAACCTCAGTTTGTAACTCTCTCTCTCTCTCTCTCTCTTTTTTTTTTTTTTTTGGTTTTTTGAGACAGGGTTTCTCTGTAGCTTTGGTGCCTATCCTGGAACTAGCTCTTGTAGACCAGGCTGGCCTCGAACTCCCAGAGATCTGCCTGCCTCTGCCTCCCGAGTGCTGGGATTAAAGGCATGTGCCACCACCGCCTGGCAGTTTGTAACTCTTTATTGAAGACAGATAACAAAAATCAAGGAATAAGAGTGATGTATTTATCATTCAGGTTGTTCTTTAGACTCTCTCTCTCTCTTTCTCTCTCTCTCTCTCTCTCTCTCTCTCTCTCTCTCTCACACACACACACACACAATTTTTTATTGTTTGTTTTCTGAGGCAGGATTTCCCAATGTGGTTCAGACTCCCCTAGAATGAACAATCCTTTTTTAGTCTTCAAGTGCTAGGATTACATGTGTACCCCCATGCCCAGTGAAAAGCACGACTCAAAAAGCATTCATAACTGGGCAGTGGTGGCACACACTTTTAATCCCAGCACTTGGAGGCAGAGGCAGACAGATCTCTGTGAGTTCAAGGTCAGAAACAAAGCAAGTTCTGGGGCAGCCAGAGCTGTTATACTGTTTCCTGTCTGGAAAAAAAAAGGGTATTCATTTATTTAATTTTGTATGTGTGTGTGGTTGTCTTAGTTACTGATTTATTGTTGTAAAGATACTATGACCGGTCCAGTGTGGTGGTGTACACTTTTAATCCCAGCACTGGAGAGGCAGAGACAGGGGAATCTCTGTGAGTTCAAAGCTAGTATGGTCTACATAGTTTTAAGACAGTCAGGATATGTAGAGAGACCCTGTCTCAAAAAAAAAAAAAAAAAAAAAAAAAAACCCCAAAACAACCCCCCCCCAAAACCCAACAACAATAACAACAAAAAATACATTATGACTAAGGCAACTTAGAAAAGAAATATTTAATTGGAGGCTTGCTCATAGTTTCAGAGGGTGAGTCCATGAACATGATGATGGAGATCTGGCAGCAAGCAGGCATGCATGTATAGCACTGGAGCAGTAGCTGAGAGCTTACATCTTATCCATAAGCCTGAGACAGAAAGCTAATCAGGAATGGCATGGGCCTTTGAAACCTCAAAGTCTACCTCTAGTGACATACTTTCTCCAAGTCCACAACTCCTAATCCTTCCCAAAACAATTCCACCAACTTGGGGGGGGGGTGTCATTCTCATTTAAACCACCACAGTGGTGTATGCAGAACCTTGAGATTGACATTGGGTAATTTCTTTAATCTTCCTACCTCATGTTTTGAAATAGAGTCTTTTACTGAAGCTATAGTTGCTGGTTTGGCTAGACTGACTGGCTAGCAAGCCCCAGAGATCCCCCAGTCTTTGCCTCTCCACTGCTGGGATTACACATATTTGCAGCTACATAGATACCAGGAATAAACACAGGTCCTCGTGAATTCACAGCAAGCACTTTGCCTACTGAGCCATTTCTCTAATCTCAAGAGTCCATTTTTTTTGGTAGTTAGTTCTTAATACTAATAACAACTCACAGACACACAAAAATCAGCAACCCACCAAAGCAGTACAGCAATATGAATTCAGAGAATAACATCTTAAATAGAAAATTTCTAGCCAAATGTAGTAAAACATCTTTGTAATCCCAGCAGTTGGGAAAGGGCAGAAAGATCACGAGTTCAGGGCCGGTTTGGGCCACATGACGTGTCTCAATCCCTTACCTCCTAAGGTAAAGTTCTCCATTAGCCTTGACCAGAGTTACTGTTAAGAAGAACTTTACAAGGAAAAGGATGGTCACAAAATATTTTGAAATATTTCAAAAAGCAACTTAGCAATGTTTTTTTTCTCCCTCAAGATGGGTTTGCTATGTATTCTAGACTGGCCTGGAACTCTCTTCCTGGAGAGGTGGGACATGGGATGACAGTTGTGAATACTGAACATGTTACTCTGTTTTTAGAGGTTAAAGATAAAGAAGATGAGACCTGGATGGAGGTGGGTGGTCCTTGGACTTCCCACAGGGCAGGGAACCCTGATTGCTCTTTGGGCTGAGGAGGGAGGGGGACTTGATTGGGGGAGGGGGAGGGAAAGGGGAGGCGGCGGTGGGGAAGAGACAGAAATCTTTAATTAATAAATAAATAAATAAATAAATAAATAAAAAAAAAAGAAAAAAAGATAAAAAAGATGCAAAGAAGAAAGACAAGTTGGCAACGGATCATTGAAATATCTGTTCTTTTTCGTTTTGGTGAAGTCTGCAGTCTTGCACTTGCTACCATTAAACTAAATATTAGTCTACAATTAAACTAAATCCTCAAGTCTCCAAAACATCTTCTATACACTCCTCTTTTTAAACCTGCTAGCAGCCATTTCTTCTCAATTAGGGTGGCAGCCAAATGCATGCTGCTATCTTGTTAGTATTCTGGAAAACACCTTTGACCTAACTTAAAATAACAAAGTCACCTTCAAGAATTTGTCCCTGGATCAATAGCAGGTATATTCTGCACAGAAATTAAGAATGACATATCCATTAACTATTGAAGTGTTGTCTGTTTCCCTGACCTCCCGACAGGGTTTCTCTGTGTAACAGAGCAAGGCTTCCCTGAAACTCATTTTGTAGACTAGGCTGGCCTCCAACACAGAGATCGCCTGCCTCTGTCTTCTGAAATACTGAAGTTGTTTAAAAAAATCTTTATTATTTCTCTACTAGTGATGAATTAAGAAAGTATTTCATTTGCTCATTCACAGTTTAACAGTACTCATATAAATCAATTGATGTTCCCTTCCCAGAAAGTATTTACACACAGTATTCACTGTGGCGGAGAAACACGAGAACATCAGTGTTTGTAAGGACTGGAAGTCCATCTGCTCTGCACTTTCTTTAGATTCTAAGGCAGTTTAAGAGTTCTATATATTTTTGACTTTTTTTATAGTTAGAATTTTCAGCTTTTCATGACTACACTGAAATTTAAGTGCTAAGTGGCCTGAACTCAGTTACTCTTATGTGGACTCACAACAGAATGCCTCGGTGTGAACCTGATACCATTTTCCTACTCTCAAAAGCTGTGGAAATGTATTCGAAGACTGGATTAGTGAATATTTATGCAACCAGATCATTTCCCTTGTTGAAATACTATTGTAGCTGCCTCTCTGATCTTCCTCCATTTTCTTTTTCTTGAGGCAGAGTTTGTGTGGCCCAGGATAGCCTGGAACTCGTGTAGATCAGGCTGGCCTTGGAATGTGTCAGCACCACAACGCTAAACTCCTCTACTTTGGGTGAGTTATTTTAGCAATTCAAGTTGGGAATCCAAGATATCTTGTTGTTCACTGGACCCTAAGAGCAGATAAAACCTGTTTTATCTATTTTTTTTTTCTGGTGATAGGGTTGTCCTGTGTAGTCTAGGCTGGCCTAAAATATATGGGAATCCTCTAGATCTAGTCTCCAGGGTGCTGGATCAATCAGCCTTCCTAACGTCTCTGGGCCTCAGTCTTCATACTGGGAAAGCCTTCTCCTGAAACGGGTTTGCAAACACGTTCTTTCTGGACTCTCCTTTCCTTTAGGCTCTTCCCTCAGTAACTTGTGCTGACTTCTTGAGCCAAGCTCTATCCTCACTCCCTCCGGAAAACCTCTCTACATTTCCCTAAGCCAAAGCTCTAATTCACACCCTCCCATCACGGTTCACTTTGTCTGACCAGCTGCGTTCAGGAAGTTGCACAAGGTCCACCCGGAGGACTTTCCACCCGAGGACTGAATGAACGTTTCTCCCAACACCTCAGAGGATAAACTCAGCGCATCAGTCCGCATACAAATATGGAAAATTCCATGTAGAGTATTTCTCTCTTTTTTATAGGCACGCTCTGGCTTGAAACTAGCTAAACAGATATGGACCACCGAGAAACATAGCTGTGATGCGCACAGCAAGACCCTTTTTCACTCCAAGCCCGGGGAGTGAAGGCTCTGAGGGAAAAGGGCTCCACACCGGTAGTGGAGTAATAAGCTCAGAGGCAGGCTTCGCCCCTGAGCCGCATCGGTGCCCCTTCCGCTCCTCGGAGCCCCTCTGCCTCCCCCGCGACCCAGCACCCGGCCGCCAGTCACCCCGAGCCGGGTCAGCATCCGGGTCTTCTCCCTCCTTTCTTCCTCCTCCTCGGTACCGCCCCCTCCCCTGCTCCCCATCCGGGTCCCCCCACCCCCCCATGCCGCCGCGCCGCTGCTCACGGTTCCACGATGATCTCAGACTTCAAGCCGCCGGTCCAAGACTAGCAGTGCCCACATCAACTTCTCTCTTTACAGTTCAGACCCCGGCTCTTCCCGAGGCCTCCTTGGAGCCCTCCCCCTATTTCACCACAGAAATCTCCGCCCTCCTTAGCGGCCAGCGACGCCGCATTACTCGGTGCAAGAAAATACGCCATCCCTGTCACACTGCGCAGGCGTTGTATGCCACCTCCCCTCAGCCTTATGGCCGCGCCCCCTTCCCCTCCCCGCTCTTGTCGAACGCAGGCAAGCGGCATTGCGGTTTTGGTAGTTCTTACGTCCGGGAGTATGCCAATTGGTCCGGAAGAGTGGACTACAAATCCCAGGGAGCATTGAGGCATAACTTTCTGTTTCCATAGAACTGGTGGGAAAATGGCGTCGTTGTTTGCATCGCTCAAACCAATAAAAACCGGGAAGAGGCGGGCTCCATAGAATCCTAGCCAATCCTCGATCGTCTGAGGGGCATCCGGGAAAGGAGTAGGGGAGGGGAAAAGAGCCGAGGGGAGGGGAGAAGAGGAAGGGGGGGCCGGGGTTGGGGGAAGCGATGTTTGCCCGTCAGTCGAGTCCGGAGTGAGGAGCACGGGCGCCGGAGCGGAGGGAGAGTCTCGGGCCACAGCTTGCCGCCGCGACGGCCACCGCCTGGACGTCTGCCCGGAGGGAGCCGCACAAGGTCGGCGGCCGCGGTCCTCGGGAGGGCTTCGAGACCGGGGCCCCGGACCTCCGTCTGGGAGGGATTTTTCGTCGCCCCCCTCCCCCCGCGAGGGAGCCGGAGCGGCCGCCAAACAAAGGTACCAGTCGCCGCCACGGGAGGAGGAGGAGCCGGAGCCCCGGCCGCCGGCGGACCCGCAGCTTCTTCGCCATCTCTTCCCCCGGGCCTGCTGGTGTTGGGGGGGGAGGCGGAGCGGGGGACTCCGGCCGCAGGGCTCGGACCTCGTCTGCGCCGGAGGTAGGGGCATTATTTTTCGTGGGGGGGAAGCTCCGGGCCGGGCCGCGCAGCGGGGCAGATGGCAACGGGGCTGAGTCGGCGCTCGCAGCGGGGCCTCGGCCTCCCGGGACCCCCGCCCCCCGCGGCGCGGAGCCGGAGCCGCCCTTCCCGGGCCGCACCGTGGGGCCCCGCGGCCTCGGCCCGTGAGGCTGGGATCTGCATGTCCTCGGTGCCCGGCCCCGGCTCCCACTTGTGGGCCTGGGCTCGGGCGGGACGCGGACGGGTTCTGTGGGGCCGAGCCGCCGTAGCCCGAGGGCCCGCCGGCTCACTCGGGGCTCAGCCCTGGGGCTCCGGGCATCGCGGTTTCGTGGGCTTGGACGGCTGCAGCCGCGCTCCAGGCCGCGCCGGACCCTGCGCTTGTTGTGAGTTTTCTGACAGAAATGGCGTCATCGTGGAGGACGGGGAAAAGTCCGTGGAGTCGCGACAATGGGGCGGCGGGCGGTGGGGGCGGTAGGGGCTCTGGGATGGCGCGTGCCTGCTCCGGCTCCTGGCCCCGCTCGGCGCCGCCCCCGCCCCGACGGCGCAGGGGGTGCCGGTGGTACTGACCGGGTGTCTTTGTTTCCCTTCCAGGTGCAGGTGAAGCTGGTGTCGCCGTGGGGATCGCGGCCCCAGAGTCACCATGAAGGTAAGGCGTCACTCAACCAGCTTGAGTGGCTTTCGAATTCAGGAAGTGTAGAGGCCGTGGCTGTGGCGGGCCTGCGAGTTTTGCAGCGGCAGGTGTGTGGAGTGGCTTGGTGCGGAGCCTTTTCCCGGGAGACCGAGGGTCAGCTGGTGCGAACATCCACGGGCTGTGGCGTGGAGTTGTGGAGTCAGTTCGGAGCCATCTCCCCAAAGCTGTGCGGCTCCCCAATAGAACAGCGCCTTTTGCATGGAAACGTACGAACAAACTGCCCGAATTAGAGCGTCTTAAATCGTAAACCAGAGAGCTGCTCTAGTTAACCCGACTCTTGAAACAGTACTGTTCCGTGGGTCTGACAATACTGATGGAAAAAAATGTCCTTTGATTGTATGGCTCGAACCGTGAATTTTAAGCAGAAAGCAAAAATACTCTTGAAGATGTTTAAGCAGTTTGATGCACTTTACCTTTAGAGATCCGATTTGGCCTGTTGCACCTGTATTGCAGGGAGTTAGGGTTGTGTGCTTCGTTTTTCTTTATGTTGGTGTTCTGGGTCTTGGAGTTGTCACGTGCTCTGCTATGGTGTGTGGTGTGGAAAACTGATGGCCAGGTTCCTCTGAAGTAAACACGTTGACTGCAGAATAGCTTCTGAGATATGTGTCGAAGTAGTTTTTTATTGGTGGAGTAAATCAGAGCAATAAAAAAAGTAGAGGTGGTGTTTGTCATTTTATGGAATTTGTAAATTTTTTAAAATTACACTGGTATGAAAAACTTTGGTGGCTATTTGATATATCTAGATTTAACTGATGGAATTTTGATGCTAGAATTTTTTCTTTAAATTCATTACAAATTCAGATATGCTTGAAAATGGTAATAGTGTGTGTCACAGTATTAACAGTAACCAGTAGTATGTTAGAATGTAAATAGCATCAACTTTTGACAGTTCTTTTAGATTTCTTTTTTCTTTTCTTTTTTTTAATTAATTTCACTTATTTCCAGAGTGAAGATTGCTTTTGTAGGACTGCAAGTGGGTACAGTTCCAAAAGCTTCTGTTTATTCTGTTTATAGACAGATGCAAATGCTCTTGCTACTTAACTATTTGCCTGTTGTATATAGCCCATTATTAAAGGCTTTTTCTTTTTGAGTTTAGGACTCTGTTTAGGGCTTGGTTTTTATTTACTGAGTTCTGTCCTGCTTTCAAGTGAATGAAAACAGCCAGTGACCTGTCAGAGACGAAACCCTTTGTTAGTCACAGATGCACAACTGTGTGAAAACAGTGAAAAGTGAGCTTTTTAGGAAAGTATGGAACTGCTTTGCTGTTGGATGAAAACTTGAGGAAAAAAATTTTAATTTGACTGATAACATGTATGATATATTTGGAAGATGAATACATTTTCAGAATGCTGTAATCTGTCACAGTTCCCATTGTAATGCCTGACACATTTTAGAATGTGTTTGTAGAAGATGTAGATTTTTCTCTTTATCCCTTTTCCTGTTAAAAAAAAAAAAAAACAAAAGAAGAGAAGAGAAGGGAAAAGAGCAGCTCAGTATGAGGTGCAGGCGTATTAATCCCAGCAGTGGAAGGAGGGTCAGTAGTTCAAGGCCAGCCTGGGATACACATTCAGCTATGGCCTAATCTAGCCATTGAGCCAGCCAAGGCCACATGAAACTGTTTCCAATAAGCAATCAAAATAGAAATGAAAAGAAAGTATTCTGGAAACTTTAGCCTTAAAAGTTGCATGGTATTAGACAAATGCAGTATTTTGGGGGATATGTTACTATCTTTAAAGGTACTTACTATTAGAAGTGTTTAAAAAAAGTTGTTAAAACATTTTCAACTTTATTAAGGACGTTTTGTTTTTAGTTTAGGGAATTTTGGGGACTCTGTTATTAATTGCTAGTATTAAAATCTTACATGTGTAAAAGACAAATTCTTCCTGAGTGCCTGAGAGATGGATCAGTGTTGAGGATCCTGCTGCCCCTCCTCGTGGGTGTTGAGTGCCCAGCACCTATACTTTATTTACAGCCACCTCGTCACTCACCCCACTTCTGTTCTCCACACACACATGCACATAAATAAAGATAAATCTTTAAAATAAAGATGGCAGTACCTTAAATTGCAGCATGTAGGTGATAGAGGCAGGTAGATCTTTGTGAATTTGAGGCCAGCCTGGGGTGCATAAATGTGACTACCAAAGAAACAATATAAAATGAAGAAAAGGTATTCAGTGTTGAATATGTCGGGCCCAATTTTGTGTGTGAATTTAGCTTGCATGTGTGTATGTGTGTGAACAACATTTGAGCCATAGAGTGATTTTATGCTGTTTGTTGAATCTTTGAAGCAAGCCTTTTAAAGTTTGAATTATTATTAGTGACATTTATTAATGGTGACACTAGAAATTTTATTGTGGCAGTGTATTGAGGTAATGATATTCTTTGGTCTTTGCCTAAAGTCATTAAATGTAGAAAAGTCTACATGCTATTTTAAATGTTAGCTGGCTTTTTGAAGCAGTTTTCTTATGGTATAACCTTCCAAAATTAATTTACACAAAACCTGGTCATTACTAGTGTGCTCTGTCTGAAGAATGTTTTTGCAGTCTGTTTGTGAGAACTGTGACTTTGTCACATAAAAGCACCTGCTTTAGGATTGATGTGACTGTTGCTATGGACACTGCTATTAGGTAGGAGTTCCTGGTGTCCTCTTGTTTTTTCTTTTTGACAAATATGTTAACATTTATTTATTTGTATGCGTGTACACTAGCATGAGGCCAGAGAACAGTTTATGGAAGTTGAGTTTTGATTTCCACCAAATGGGTTCTTAGGATTGGTCAAAAGGCCCCACAGTAAGGGCCCTTTCCTGCTATCTCAATAGCCCTTCTGTTGTTTTTCATACTTTTGGTTGATAGACTTTTCAACATTAATGTGAATTAATCAAATTGATGCCTACGTTTTTGTAACTAAAGTGTTTCTCCTTTTTATACTGTGCACGTTACCAACATTCTTAATATACTGTAGTCAGTTGTAGAGTGAAGTAGTGGGCTTGTGTGGCTTAGACATGAGTGTTTAGGGAATGAGTGATTTAGATGCTCTACAGAGGCTGGGCTTTTTCATATGTATCCTTGTCTCTCAGTGAGTACTGGCCTAGACCATGCAGACACACTGGTTGTAAGTGCCTTCTTTTTGGTTCTGGGTATGCATGCATACTCTTTCTTTTCCTCCTTTTCATTTGCTTCCTTTTCTGCCTTGGCTTTTTTCTTTTTCTTTCTTTTTTTTTTTTTGAAATAAATCATCATTTAAGAACTACATCCAGTGTGATGAGGTAGCATCAGCAATTTGGCTTGCTCTCAGTGTAGTAGAAGACACTTTAAAGCACTTTCAGAGTATTTGTTCCACCATGTGACCATTGCAGTACATACTGTGGAAAGACAGCTAAGTGAGAGTCATGGAAAGTTGTCTGGGATAGTGGACGTCAGTGGTGAGTGTTAAAGAAAGGGAAAAGCATGTCAGATACAAGGGAACAGACACTGGGCAGAAAGGAACAAAGCAGGGTGGTATATATGGAAACTTA